CTAAAAAAACTACTGCAAAAGATAAACTAGAAACAAAAATTAAGAAAATGGTAAGAGAACACCTATCCGACCTTGACGAATATAAATCACCGGGACCCAACAGATTACATCCCAGAGTTCTGAAGGAGCTGGCAGATATTATCTCAGAAAAATTGCACCATATCTTTCAAAAATCCTAGAGTACCGGGGAAGTACCTGAGGATTGGAAAAGGGCTGATGTGGTTCCCATCTTCAAGAAAGGGGGAAAAACAGAACAAGGAAACTACCTATCAATCAGTCTAACATCCATACCTGGGAAGATACTGGAAAAGATAATCAAAAAACAGATCTGCAAACAACTAGAACCAAACAAAGTTATAACTAGTAGCCAGTACGCATTTGTTAAAAACAAATCATGCCAAAACAATCTTATTTCATTCTTTGATAAAGTGACTAAATTAGTAGACCAGTGAAATGCTGTGGATATAGTATACTTAGGTTTCAGTAAGGTATTTGACGAAGTATACTGCTTGGTAAGCTAGAAAAAAGGGGAATAGACACTATCACCACCAGATGTTTATAGCTGGCTGACAAACCGTACTCAACAAATAGTCCTCAGTGGTACTACATCCACATGGAGAGAAGCAGTGGGGTACCACAAGGCTCCATCTTAGGCTCAGTACTCTTCAATATCTTCATAAATGACTTAGATGAGGGAATAGAAAGGGAACTCATTAAATTTGCAGATTACACTAAACTGGCAGGAATAGCCAATACTCCAGAAGACAAGCTCAGGATCCAAAAAGACCTTGACAAATTTGAACATCGGCCCTATCCAACAAAATGAATTTTAATGTTGAAAAAAGCAAAGTTTTATATTTAGGCAGAGAAAATCAAGGTATAAGTACAGATTAGGCTCAAAAACAATAATTTTGAGAGGGACCTTGATGTTCTAGTGGATGATCACTTGAATATGAGCCAGCAGTGTGCAGCAGCAGCCAAAAAAGCTAATACAATCCTGGGTTGTATAAACAGAGGCATAGAATCAAGATCATGCGAAGTATTAATATCACTTTATAAAACCCTAGTAAGACCACACCTGGAATACTACAGCCAGTTTTGGTCACCACACTACAACAAAGATGTTGAGACTTCCAACGTTCAAAGAATAACAACTAAGATGATCAAAGACCTGGAGACTAAATTAGATGAAGAACGGCTGCAGGCTTGAGTTTGGCTAGTCTAAAGAAAAGAAGAAATAGGGGTAACATGATAGAAGTATTCCAGTATTTGAGGGGCTGCCACAAAGAAGAGGGCATCAAATTATTCTCCAAAGCATCAAAGGCCAGGATAAGAAACAATGGTTGGAAAGAGAGAAGACCAAAGAGAGAAGCAACCTGGAATTAAGGAGGAACTTCATAACAGTGAGGACAGTTAACCAGTAGAACAGCTTGCCTTCAGAAATTGTGGATGCTCCATCACTGGAGACTAGACAATCACTTGTCTGAAATGGTATTGGTTTTCCTACTTGAGCAGGGGGCTGGTCTAGAAGACCTCCAAGATCCCTTCCAGCTCTATTCTATTCTATTTGGTGCACAACCTGGATTTTTATCTATTCTCAATATGGCACAATTAACAATTGATTTTTAAATTCTACATTAAACTTGACGTTATTGTGCCAGAAATATTCATACCACCCACAACTCAGTTAATGTTCTTACAATTCTAAAATTGTAAGATTTAGGATATATATTGTTATATACAATAAATTAAGACTGAGCATTTTAGTATAGTTGTTTTTAGTTGCAAAGTCGTGTCTGACCCATCGCGACCCTATGGACAACATTCCTCCAGGCCTTCCTGTCCTCTACCATCTTCTGGAGTTCATTTAAGCTCACGCCTACTGCTTCAGTGACGACATCCAACCACCTCATTCTCTGTTGTCCCTTTCTTCTATTGCCCTCAATCTTTCCCAGCATTAGGCTCTTTTCCAGTGAGTCCTTCCTGCTCATTAGGTGGCCCAAGTACTTGAGTTTCAACTTCAGGATCTGGCCTTCTAAAGAGCACTCAGAGTTGATCTCCTCTAAGACTGATCGGTTTGATCGCCTTGCAGTCCAGGGAACTCGCAGGAGTCTTCTCCAGCACTATAGTTCAAAGGCCTCAGTTCTTTTGCGCTCAGCCTCTCTTATGGTCCAACTTTCACAACCAGACATTGCAACTGGGAAAACCATGGTCTTGACTATATGTATTTTGTTGGCAGGGTGATGTCTCTGCTTTTTAGTATAGTAGTTTTAGTATAGTAGTTCTTTTTAAAAATAGATAATTAAACGAGTTCAACTATACCATAAAATGAGATAGTGGATGCAGAAAAGTCAGGCGGAATCTGAAGGTCTTGCACAAAGTTCAAAGCAATTATTTCATTTCCCCCCCCAAACCCAACACCCTTGACCAGACCACCGGCAGCCAATATGATGCTGCAGAGATATTAAGAGAACTTGAGGTACTGGGTAGATAACAGGTTACTCTCGGGGCATGACGACCTTGGAACTAGGCTGGAACCAGCTGAGAAGGAATCTGCTTCTTCTCTGAAGACAGTCACTCTCCCTAATTCGCAAGTAGTTACAGCAAAAATGAAAGCGTACCAAGAATGCCAGAAGCCTTCCCTCTCCATCCAACAGAATGGCAGGACACCTGCATGGTGGACCTGACAGCAGTTGTTATATTAGTATCATGGTTATTAAATGACTCTGGATTCCCCATTGACTTTGCTTGTCAGACGGTAGCAAAAGATAATCACATAAGCCCAGGACACTGCAACTGTCAAAAATAGTCATAAGTCACTTTCAGTGTCGTAACTTTGAATGATCACTAAATGAATTGTTGTAAATCAAGGACTATGTGTACATAGCATTAAAAAACCCTACCCAATATGTAAAATGGTGACTAGACACATTGATTAAACAACCCAAATGGGAATCCACTCAATGGACCAAATGCCTAGGGGGAAAGTCAAGTATATTGCTTGTCAAGATTTGTGGCATTTTTTTATAAAGTAGATTTTTGAACAAAACTTATTTTTAAATACTTTTTATATTTATAACTTCTTTTTGTTCTCCTTCTTTTAGTATCTTCATAGTTACTAATTTTGAATAATATTGAATATTAATTTCTTCACATTCTTTCATGAATCTGTCCTTTTTGTTAATTTATTTAGAAATGCTAGAAAAAGATTAGTTGCAGCTTGGATAGGATTGTTGGCTTTACAGATCTGAACTTGCTTGTTTTCTTGCAGACATTTCATTACCCAAACTAGGTAACATCATCAGTGCCAGTCCTGATGATGTTACCTAGTTTGGGTAATGAAACTTCTGTAAGAAAACAAGCTCAGAGAACACCAAGGACCCTTCATAAATGAATGTGCGAGTTATTAGATGGAACATGGGGTGTCTTGGTGGGCTGCCTGTGCCTCCAGCCTCCCAAGGCATTCCCCCACCCTGAGATACCTCGTGCTCTACTTCCTACCATTTGGGGTCCCCAGAGCTGCTTGAGTCCCCTCCACACCACCTCCATCACTGATCTCCAGAGCTCAAAAGGTTGAATAAGGAAGGAGGATAGGATGCTCCATTGCTGTGCCATGTGGCAGAGTTACGGAAGTGGCCATTTTTTTCTGGAACACTGGCGAAATCTTAGCCATCCTTACAAGGCATTAGCATGCACTGCTAAAGCTTGGGGAAAAGCAGCTATTGCTTGCAAGCTGAAACCTTTGCCTCCCTTCCCAAGACATTTATATAACAGTATGTGGCTTAAGCTTGGGGGAAAAAAGAAAGCCTTTGCTTTGGCACTTCTAGAGTTGCAGTACTGATAAAAGGGAAGCTGTGTGCTTTAGGCTTTGTCTGCATCCTTCGTTGTCAGGATGAAGGGGGGGAGGGGAGAGACATCTCAAGTTTTAGCAGTTTGTCTTGTTGCATCTTCCCAAAACCCTGTTGGCCAAAATGAAAGAACAGTGTTTCTTCCTCCTCCGTGCAAGCAGTGCCTTTGCTTTTGCAAGGAGCCAGGTTGCTTCCCTTCGCTCAGTGAGGAATATGGATTTAAAGGGCATCTTCTGGATGAACAGCTTTTCTAAAGCAGAGGCCAGACTCTGCAGGGAGAGTGACTCCTACATGGGCGAAACAGAATGAGTTCCTGCTGGTATTCCTCTTGTAGTGTTTCAAAAATTCCTAACTCAGGACTTCGTATGCTGTTCTCTGCAGCTCAGTAGTACTGAAAAATTGCTACCATGATGCAACAACAGGAGCTGGGCTGACTTCACAGGCAGGTTTCTTCAGGAGTAAGATGTACTGGGTTGGAGAAGTTTATGCTTTGAGCAAGTTCAACTCTTGTGCGCACAAGCAAGTTCCTTGGCTTTTCCACCCCTTCCTTCCGGGTGACTTTTGAGGACTTAAAAGGGAAATGTGTTTCTCTCTTCCTCAACTATGGCAAGTGCCTGCCTTCCTTGAGGCCTTGGGAAGGAAGGCTAGGATTTCACCAGCATCTCAAAAACAATGGCCACTTACGGAATTTTGGCATGTGGCCCAGCAATGGAGCATCCTGTCTCCTATACCCCAAACTCTTGAGCTCTGAAGATCTTGGAAAGATGAGTGATTGGTGATATGGGATGGGGAGGAGCGGAGCTGGAGCCCAGTGGGCTGGCAGAGCAGGCCCTATGCCTGTGAGGACCTGCAGCATCTTGGCACTTGGTCATAAGAATGAATGACCACAGGAGTGCTGCGACAGTCAAAACTTTGGGACTGGGTCATAAGTACTTTGGGGGGTATTGTCATAACTTTGAACCATTACTAAGTAAGCTGTCATAACTCAAGGGCTACCTCTATGTATGTATGTATGTATCTATGCATGTATTATTTAATTATTTAGTAAGGAAAAATAAAAGGGTTGGGAAGGAGTGTCCACCATCTACAATGTAATCAGATATGTGATACATTACTCAGCTAATTTAATTTTTCATCTTTTCAAAAAATCAGGCATTTGGAGCAGAGATATCAGATATAAAAGCAATCTTCCATTAACTGAGATAAACAAGATCCTGAAGAATTTGGAAAGCAAGAAACTCATTAAAGCTGTAAAGTCTGTAGCAGTGAGTATATCTATAATTTTCAAGTAACTCAGTGATCTTATTTTTCAATATTATAATATTTGCAGTATTTTTACATTTGCAATAACCTTCCAACACAAATTGTTCTTTTTAATGAACTTTTTGTAAACATTACAAACTTTTTATAAATTGTATCTTTCGTGAAATTATTGGTTTTTCTTATGATGTAATATGCTTTTGGGTAATTTCACAAAATGTATTAACAACTGTTTTAGAAAGCCATTTAATGTACACTGGACAACTCATGACCTGTTGGGTCACACTTGTTTTCACATATAATATAGCATATAATTTCACATATAATTTACTTCTCTCACAGCCCTCATCAGATCTCTGATGAAGCCTCTTCCTCTTCCTTGGTTGACCATAAAACTGTTTGCCATTTTGCTGGGGAAAGAGGGAGAAAGCTGTAGATCAGGAGGAAAACAACCCCGCTCCCACCCCACTGTGTCCCGATGGCCCCCTCCCCTCTAGGAAGGAAGAGGACTCACCTGTTGACTACTGGTATTCTCCAGTCGGATATATCTTGCCATCAGACATCCAAGTCACTCCCTTATTCTTCCCTTTCTGCCCACTGCCAATTAAGAGATTTCAGGTTTTGGCCTCATTCCAAAACGGCCACTGTTTGCCTGTCAAGCTTTGCCACCAGCCAATTGGGCACAGAGACCAACATGAGGTGGGAAAGCGAATGGTAATATTTATCAGTTTCCCTTGCACCACACAACTTATGTGTTTCTGGAAGTATAATTGGAAAATAATTGCAAATCACGATCATGTGATCATGACTTTCCACAGTGACACTGACTATCAGTGTGAATACAACTGGTGTGAAAGTCTTTGAAATTTCAATTACATGAGAATAATGGGCCCTGGATTTTGTATATATTCTTTAAGTTAGCGGATTTGAGGTATCTTGATATTTGCACTATGATGCGCTGTTGGCAAATTGAAGATTACAGACAAACAAGAGAATTTTAGTATTATATAGATAAATAACAATGAATGCTTATCTTATCATATTGAGAAAGTTTTGAAAGGATAGATCATTCTTCCAATACAGGGGTGTAAAACTCAGCTTCATTGAGGGCCGCATCAGCATTACGGTTGCCCTCGGGGGGCCGGGTGGGTATGGCCAGAGTGGATGCAGCCTACTGGGTAGACTTGGATGGAGTGGGTGTGGCCTACTGGGTGGGCATGGCCAGCTCTACATCGTTTGTGTCAAGGGTGCCTGTGGGGGCCTGGGCAGGAATGGGACAGATCTGAGGGTCTCTGGCAGAAGGGGGTGGGACCAGGGCAAGTGCCAAGGCATGGTCCACTGAAGGAACCTCACTGTTCCTCTCAGGCCATGCGGGGGAGACCAGATGGTCGTGTGGGCTGCCCGGAGCCCTTGGCAACAGAGGTCAAACACCCAGCCTGGCCCTCGAGCACTCGCGGCATCAAGCCCAGCCCTTTCCCAAGGGGGCGCCCAGCTGCACTTACCTCCTCCTCAAGGCTGCTGCTGCTGTGCTTGCTCTCCTTAGCCAGGTTGCTCATGATGGGTACGAGGGCAAAGTCAGAGGGAGGCCCATTCCCTCTCCATGGGAGGAGACCCAGCTTTGTATCCAAAGCTTCCTTAGCAATAGGATGGGCGACCCCAGGATAGGCGAGGAGGAGGGGGCCAGGATGATAGGCCAGGAGGAGGGGGCAAAGCGATAGTGAAAGGGCAGCAGGGCAGGACTAAGGCAAGGCTTCCCTCAGACCCTCCCTCTCCTTCTTTCCTTCCCTCCTTCCCTCCTTCCTAAGTATAGAGTGGTGGGAAAATATTTGAGATGAGGGAGGGAGAAACACAGCTGGGGAAGTGTCACCCTTCGTGAGGAATGAAGAAATGCACCATCGTCTGGAAGTGGCCAGCACATGGCCCTCACCTACTTCACATATCTGGCTTGGTGGGCTCTGGCGGAGGGGATGCCAGGAGCAGCGTGAGAGTCAACATTACCTGCGCAATGCTGCCCAGACCCCAGCCTGCCCAGTTTCAGCAGGCAGCGGGGCGCTCTCCTCACAGCGCCATGAGGCTGAACCAGGCGGTGCAAATCCAAAAAGAATTGCGATACCACCCAGCCCCCAGCCTGCCCGGTTTCAGCAGGCAGCGGGCGCTCTCCTCACAGCGCTGACAGGTTGAGCTGGGCGATGCGAAGCTCTCCAGCTTTATACCTTGCTGCCTGCTGAAACTGGGCAGGCTGGGGGCTAGGCAGCATTGCACTTCTCTTCAGATTCGCGTCACCCAGCTCGGCGCTGCGAGGAGAGCGCCCCCTGCCTGCTGAAACCCCTCCCCCAGAGCCCATCAAGCCAGATATGTGAAGTAAGCGAGGGCCATTTGCTGGCCACTTCCAAGCGATGGTGCATTTCTTCATTCCTCACAAAGGGTGACACCTCCCCAGCATGCACCCAGGGGGCGGGGCCGACGTGGCAGGGGCTGATTCCTCTGTTTCCAGACAGCCTTGTGGAGCTAAGACTGAATGCATTTCAGCACAGATGACCACCACCAAATTGTACATTGGCTCCCGGCCGGCCAGGGCCAAGGCAGCGGGGGCCATTCCCTCACTGTTTCCAGGATGGCTTCGCGGGCCACATGAAAACACTTAACGGGCTGCATCCGGCCCCCAGGCCTTGTGTTTGACATGTCTATTCTAATACATCTTTTTATTCCATCATCACAATATTTAGTGAAACATGTAAGCTTGATAGCTAAAGGCTGTACTTTAATCCAAGAAATGTCAGTCCCCCAGCCCGTTCTCATCTTCTGAAGATAGAATTAATAATTCTATAATATTTTTTGAGGTGCAAAATAACAGAGTTGGAAGGGACCTTGGTGATCTTCTAGTCCAACCCCCTACTCAACCAGGAGACCTATACCATCAGATAGATGGCTGCCCAATCTCTTCTTAAAAACCTCCAGTGATGGAGCACCAACAACTTCTGGAGACAAGCTCTTCCACTGATTAATTGTAATTAATCTTTGACAGTCACTCATCTGTTGCTTTTTGTCTGCCCTCATGTGGTTTGGAGAATAGGTTAACTCTCTCTTCTTTGTGACACCCCCAATATTGGAATACCATCATGTCAGCCCTTGTCATTCTCTTCATTAGACAAGATATATCTAGTTCCCCAAACCATTCATCATATGGTTCAGCCTGCAGTCCCCTAACCGTTTTTGTTCCTTTTCTCTGCGCTCTTTCTAGAGTCTCAAAATCTTTTTGTATCATGGTGACCAGAACTGGACACAGTGTTCTAAGTGTGGTCTTAATAAGTGTGGTTAAAACAGTACTAACACGTCACATGATCTTGATACTATCTCTCTGTTGATGCAGCTTAGGACTGCATTGCCTTTTTTGGCAGCTGCAGCACACTGCTGGCTCATACTTGTGGTTGTGCCATCTATACCTGTGCATTTTGGTTTTTTGCCTAAGTGTAAGACCCAACTTTTCTCATCACTGAATTACATTTTGTTGGATAGGGCCCAGTGTTCACGTCTGTCAAGATTCTTCTCCATTTTGAGTCTATCTTCTAAAATGTTGACTATTCCCCCAGCTTGGTGTCATTTGCACATTTTGAGTTCCTCTTCTTTCCCTTATCTAGATGATTTGTGAAGATGTTGAACAGTACTGGGCCCAAAACAGTACTTTGAGGTGCCTTACTACATATGTCCCTCCATTTAAATGTAGTTCCATTGAGGACTACAGGCTGAGTACATTGGTCAGCCAATGGTAAATCTACATGTTTCTATCTTACCTAGAAATAAGCTATGATCTACTTTGTTAAATATCTTACTGAAGTCTACGTAAACTGTATCCACAGCATTTCTCCAACCCATTAATTTAGTGGATACCCCCAATGACTAGCATGACTGAAGATTATAATAGAATTTACTCATGGTTAAGTGGGCCCAAACAGCTCCTGCCATATCCTGCTTGTTACCATCATAAAGTTAGCCATTTGATTTATAAAAATATCTCAAATTTTATTTTCTGAGAATGAATAGCATCCAGACTATTATAATTTAACCTGCTTCTGAAAAAAATTGTAGATGGGAGAATAGAGATAGCAATGTATTATCAGTATAATGAAGTAGATCCTATCTTCTTCCACAGAATTTCCTTTCCACAATATTTTATCCTTGTCCAAAATACTGCAAAAAGGGCATCATAAAAATATAGCCACCCAGGTTACAAGTGACAGGTCTACAATAATGTGGCTTAAACTAAAGAATGAAATCAGGAAGAATATAGCCACATAAAATACAAAAGTAGGAAATTAAGAAAAATAAAAGACTAAATGAAGGGAATAATCTATTTTAAATCTCATACTTATATTTCATTTTTTATTCCATCACCAAAGTGTTTAGTAAGCCATAGTTATTCCCTTGCTTCATTTTCTTGCAAAACCTAGTGTACCTATTCTTAGCATATATGTATACTGGTGAATCATAATTATAGCTCTGACTGGGATAGAATAGAATAGAATAGAATAGAATAGAATAGAATAGAATAGAATAGAATAGAATAGAATAGAATAGAATAGAATAGAATAGAATAGAATAGAATACTTGTACTTGTACTTGTACTTGTACTTGTACTTTTTGTCTTTCAGTTTGTCAGAGAGAGCTTTGTGCAGCCATGCTGGTTTTCTCTTGAATTTCTTGTTTCTCTTTTTTTTTTCTCTTTGCGCTTGACTGAGCCCCTATGATCATACTCTTCAGTGTTTCCCATGCTTCTTGAGTTATTTTCCCCTTTAGGATTTTCGTCCATGAAATCTTTCCTAGGTACTCTCTGAGTTCATTAAAATCAGCTGTTTTGAAGTTTAAGACACTGGTTGGATTGTTTTCTATTATTTTCTATTGCTTGTGTTTGTATTACCGTATATGCCGGCGTATTAGGCGACCCGACGTATAAGACGACCCCCGTCTTTATAGCCGGGCCGCATTCCTAGAACGTCGTCTTATACGCCGAAAACTACCAGTATTTCCGGCATATAAGACGACTCGGCGTATAAGACGACCCCCGTCTTTGGCGCCGATTTCAGTGCTCGCGGAAGTCATCTTATACGCCGGCATTTACGGTATATTGAATTCCAGTATGACGTGGTCACTTTCACCCAAGGTTCCAGCAACTTCAACTCCCTCTAAGTGAATCTGGCTTCTCCATTGACTTTGCTTGTCAGAAGGTCACAAAAGGTGATCACATGACCACAGGACACTGCAAACATAAATACATGCCAATTGCCAACCTCCAAATTTTGATCATGTGACCATGGGGATGCTACAACAGTCATAAATGTGATAAATGATCAAAACTCACCTTTTCAGTGCCATTGTAACTTCAAATAGTCACTAAATGAATTGTTGTAAGTTGAGGAATACCTGTATCATACAGGATAAATATTCTTAATGGTAAATATTAGATTTTTCATATTGCAGAAGAGTTGAATAAAACATGTCATTAACTCAATAGGCATCCAAGAAGAAAGTATACATGTTGTACAATCTCCAGCCTGATCGTTCTGTGACAGGAGGAGCTTGGTACAGTGACCAAGATTTTGAATCTGAATTTGTAGAGGTGCTAAATCAACAATGTTTTAAATTTCTTCAGACTAAGGTAAATGACCCATATGTGTAATTTGCATATGTTCTTCCCCCTTTTTTCTTTCCCCTCTTATAAGAGGGAATTATAAGGGAGTAAGCAGATACTCAGTGGGGAATACCCACAAAAAGCACTGTGGTGGGAGCACTGGGAGCTGTGGGCATGCTACACAAAAAGGCCAATTTCTTCCCCATTGGGTGCCTACTCATTTTCTTGTAATTCCTTCTTTCCAATCTCTCTGCTGTACAAAGGGGGAAAAATAAGAAAAAAAATGGATCAGGCACAGGACAGTGTGTCCTAACTGATTGTAATGGCAAACACATGACTGAGAGAGATTGATGTTGGAAAGGTCATAAATGTGCACCCTGGTTGCAAATTTATTTTTAAGCACCATTGTAACTTCAAATTTAACTTCACAATGCAGTGAGTAAAGTGAGGTTTAACTGTGTCTAAATAAGGCACAGCTAGAATCTTGATGGGTCAAGCCAACAGTCTTCACTTGGGAGATCTGCAGTGCTTTGTATATCTTCTAGGAAGTGTGAGAAGAAAAACATTACAATATTTCTAAGCAAATGCTGACATTCCATTGTATGCATATGATAATTGACATTTTAGAAAGATAATGCTCTGGAGTCATAAAACTGAAAACTTCAGAGTCTGGCTTCCTATATTTTTTGTCTACCAAAACAATGCATTGTCTTAGCTGCAGTTTTGTAGGTATCATTCTCATTCTGTACTTGATAAGGTTTCTCTAAACCTATCTAATTTTCACCCCAGACCATTGCAATAAGTTTCTTAAGTTTTCCAGTCCCTACTCTTAACAAATTTGTAGATTGTCCTTAGCTGGATGTTTTTAAATTCAGGCAATATAGGAATTTTATAGAGCAGGGAGTTCTATAATTTTGTGATACTTCAGAGTATTCATATTGAATCTTGCATTTTATAGTGGATGCTGTGAAACCTGTGTCTCCTATAACTGATTTTTTTCCTGAACAGTTTGAGTACATTAAAGCTGTTCCTAAGGAAGGGATCCCTGGGATATAACTAAAAAGGCAAATGTCTTATGTAATGATCTCACAAGCTGGTTAGACACTTAACATTTAATATGACAGATGTGGTACTTTATGTGGCAGAAAAAAAGACCAAAGTCCTAGTATATGACAGAGAATTCTAATTTACATGTTTGAATTTCTAACATTTTGCTTTCCAGAATACATATACTATATATTTTTAGCTTTTGATAGCACTGAGAATTTCAGCATTTCATGTAGTTTTATTCCAATATTTGTGTCTTTTCAACTTTATTAACTAATTCAATTTATTCATTATTGAATAAAATTGAGATAACCAATCCCTTCGTGCTTTCTTCTATTCTCTGAAGAAAATTGCAAGAACTTTTCTGAAGAAAAAAATGGCCAATTTTATCTACCGCTAGATATTGTGGTAATTAAGTTATTGTTAGGCATCATTATGACACAAGATAATGAATGAAAAATAATTTTTTTAAAATTCAGTTCTTTAAAGTATTTGTTTTTAAAAAGGAACTTTTCTTAATCTTGAATAGTCAAAGAATAATGTGGAAGAGCAGTAAAAGGAAGCCACAGAGAAGTTATGTTTGTTGAAGGTTAATTATTTTAATGCCAGGAAATGTTTCTTTAAAATACTTCCTGAATAGCTTACTTGCAAGTGTCTTTGAATGAATACCAGCTAAAACACTCTTCTCCACTGATATAAGCAGCTTCTCTACTACATCTTTTTTCCATTGATATTGTAGGCCGAAGCAGCTCGAGAAACCAAACAGAATCCTATGATACAAAGAAATAGCTCATTTGCATCTTCTCATGAAGTGTGGAAATATATCAGTGAGTTAGGTATCAGTAAGGTAAGATCGTTGGTGTATTAGTTTTTCATTTTGTGCTCAAAGAACAATGTTGTGTCTCACAAAATAATAGGCATTTTCTTTTTTGTTGTATTTATAGATCAACCTTTAGTTGAACTGCATTAATGCATTGGTCACCTTAATTTTAAGCTGCTGGTATTGATCCTAACATTCATGGTTCTAAAGGATATCTGATGATTAATTTTTGCCAATGGCTTTCATGAGCCATTTTTAAATATAATCAGTTGGATTATAAATTCATTTTTGAGTATTATTTTTAAAAAATTAGATCCTGTTTTTTAGATTTTATCCACAGAAATATAGAAAGAAATAAAGAGAGAATGAAAAAGGAAATTTTTTTTCTTGTAAGCAATAGAAGTCAAGCAAGACTTTTAAATAAAAATGCTTCAGAATGTACATCAAAGAAATGCTTGGTTATTGGATTTAGCAATTACTTTTAATAATAATTGATTATAAATCAAATTTTAGTTTTGAAGAAAATTAAAATTCTACCTGTTAGAACAAAAGGGGCATGCTTTTTCATGGGCATATATTTTAATAGTGTTGGATGATCTCTGCATCATATCATGCAAAAGTAATTCTGAATTAGAGATATAGCTGAGTTTTATGGTCCACTTGTTTTAAAGCACTTTCTATTCCTTTTTTTGCTAGAGAAGACTTAAGCTCTGTTTTGATTGAACTATGTTTACTTTTTAAAATGGATATTCAGCCTACCTCTGGCAATTTTACTCTTTATTGTTTTTATTTATTTACACTTTGTATTTCTAGAGTACCCATCTCCCTCAAAGAGGGATCTTGAATAGTCTATGTAATTGGAAAGCAATTGTCTTTACAACATTTCTTGATAACTAAACTAATAATTTAATCCTTCCATGCTGAAATCATGCTGAAGTTCCAGTTGGATTTAAAAAAAAACAGTTCTGTTCAATTAAGCAGTAATTGTGTTATAGTAAGCATTTACAATAGCCTGCTTTTCAAGCATCAGTGTACTCCTTTTCCTAGAGAATTCTTATTTGAGCTTTTTAAATTCTTTAGGTAGAATTGTCAATGGAGGACATAGAAACCATTTTAAACACCTTAATATATGATGGAAAAGTAGAAATGACCATTATTGCTGCAAAGGAAGCATCAGCAGGAAGTGTAGACGGGCACATGAAACTGTACAGAGCCATCAGTCCAGTCATACAACCCACTGGGTTGATACGGATACCTTGTGGACTTTGTCCAGTAAGTATTGCTCAGGATATGAAATACATTGAAATCAGATGTTTTACTAGTGTGACTCATTAGAATGTATCTGCATATCAGTTATTCAAATTAGACTTCAGAATACAGGTAGTCCTCATTTTACAACACTTCATTTAGTAACTGTTCAAAGTTATAACGGGACTGGAAAAAGTGACATGACTGGTCATGTGGGCAGCATCTCCATGGTCATGTGATCAAAATTCAGATGCTTGGCAACTGACTCATATTTATGATGGTTGCAGTGTCCCGTGGTCATATGATCAGCTTTTGTAACCTTCTGACAAGCAGAATCAATGAGGAAGTCAGATTCACTAAACACGTGTCTCACTAACTTAATAGCTACAGTGATTCACTTAACAACTGTAGCAAGAAAGATTGTAAAATGGAACAAAACTCACTTAACAAATGTCTCACTTAGCAACAGGAATTTTGGACTCAATTGTGGTTGTATGTTGAGGACTACCTTTACAGGGTATTGTTTTATATCTGGCAAAATAATTAGGCAGGAGTGGGAAATCATTCAAGTAAGATCCTGTTGGTGAATATGTGTTGTAGGACCTACGGGATTGATATTTTTCAGAAAAAAATATTAATGTTTAGGTTATATTACTGTGAGTTTATTTCCTTATTCCAGCTTTATTTTTTAAAAAAATCTCTTTTATTCTGTGTTGAAATATTAAGGATAAGTTTAAAATATCAGCTATTAAACAATAGGCAAAGTTAAAATTGTTTTTGCCATGAATATAAAGGAAAACTGAGCAGCCTTTTGAGGTTGAGGGCCTTAGTTAATTGTGTGGGTTACAGTGAACCTAGCTAAACCAGACATATGAGATGAACTGAAAATTCATGGGGATTTTTTTTCTGATGGAGGAGAGGGATGTCTTTTTTTTCTTCTTGATCTTTTGAGAAAAAGTTTTGAATATCAACACTGTAGTGAAGGTTTGGGCTAGAATCCTGGAGACTGAGTTTTATTCCTTAGTTAGGCATAGGTGCCAGTTGAGTGCCTTGGATTAGCTCATCTTTGTTAGCCAACCCATCTCAGTGTTATGTGGAAAACAAGAAAGAAGGAATATTATGTATGCTGCTGTCAAGGTTCTAATAGATGAGACCAGATAAATTAGAACTCCAAGGCTAGAGGCTTCTTAAAGAATATGTTTATTGGTTACAAAGTATTGGCATAATCAAAAGTGAAACCAAGTCTGAAATTCCCTCCAAAGAATTACACTATTACAAAGTTAAACTTCCCACCCCCATATTATGCAATCAATTATGTTTCCCAATAGAATAGGGTGACGGGGTTTCTAATAGTGCACCCAACCCCCTCATCTTGATATACAGGTTCTGAGGTTTTGCTGATTAAAGAAATACAGGAAACCAGAAAGTGCCTTTTAAGTTTTACGTGTTTATTCAGCTGAATAGAGACGGACTCCTGTAAATGAAGGGAGCAACAAATGACAAGAAATCCTTGTATTTATTCTGTATAATTACATAAGCAACCCATCCAGCAAAGCTGACACACATAAGATAAAGATTGCACCCAGTAAGTCTGGCATACTGTAGATAAGAAGGGAGAAAGCAGAATTAGCTAAATGTTCTCATTTGAGTGTTATTTAAAGATATCATATGTTCTTGAGTGGGTTAGGATATTGGGTGTTGTCCTTGCTATCCTTTCCTGACCCTGAATCTAGGATTACAAGTAACCAAAGAGAGAGAAGCCATCTATATATATTCATAATTAATACTGTCCCCTAATTCCTGGTCATCAATCTGACCGTTTGAAATTATCTTGGTTCCCACAGGACAGAAAATTGTTTAAACTATCAGAAAACCTCCATTTCTCTCCTCCCATTCCTATGGCAAACTAGAACAAGCAAGATGGCTTCAGCCACATTCGTTGTAGAGTTGACAGTCGGACCCCCTAAAGCAGGGGTCCCCAACCCCCGCTTTGTGGCATGCCAGCAACCAGTCCGCACAAACAAGCAAAGCCCCATCTGCAGGATTCAGGCAGCACACAAAACCACACACCCGCCCGTTCATGGAAAAACTTCTCTCCACATAACTGATCCCTGATGCCCAAAAGGTTGAGGAGCCCTGAGCAGGCAATGAAATGGGCTTGCTTTGAAAAGAGATCAATGACAGTCCAGATTATCATATTTTCCTTACTTTCTGATAATTCAACAATAAAATCCATGGCTATTTCCTCCCAGGGTGGGGATGGGTCTGCTACTGGTTGCAATAACCCTGGGACTTGCCAGGATATTTATTCATGGCTGCACAATTGGCACAACTCTACATAGCTTTCAATGTCTCTTTTCATCCCTGCCCACCAAAACTGCCACTGGACTAAGTGCAATGTCTTTAAAAATCCAAAGTGACCAACCTGCATTGAAGGGTTTGAATTCTGAGGAATTCTGGCAGGTATAGTTTGGACCACTTCCAGGTTAAACCATCTCAATAGGTCGATAGGGTTTCATTCTCTTGGAACCAGGTATCAGTCTTTAATTCTTCCCTGAGCTTTTGGGTCATGCAGCTTTCTGTAGACTGCTTTTGTGTCTGGCCTCTGGTGGTCACTTGAAAAACTGATTGTGGTAATGGAATGATAGAATTAATGATTTCGTGTCGGCGGCTTTTGTATGGGGCATTCTTGACAAGGCATCAGCCAAAAAATTCTTCCCCCCAGGGAACTACTTCAAATCAAAGTTAAAATGTTTAAAATATTGTGCCCATTGGATTTGTTTAGGTGACAATTTTCAAGGGGTTCTCAGCGCTTCTAGATTTTTATGATCAGTCCATATTTCAAAAGGCACTTTGCTTCCCTCAAGGAAGTGGTGCCAAGTTAGCAGCGCCCACCTCACTGCAAAAGCCTCCTTCTCTCAAACATCCCATTGCCTCTCAGTGTCTATCATTTTTTTAGAAGGGTAGGTACAAGGTTGTAGGTCCCCCTTTTTGTTTCTTTATAAGAGTACTGCTCTCACAGCTACGTCACTAGCATCAGCTTGAATGATGAATTGCTCCTCAGGGTCAGGGTGTTTGAGAACAAGTTTGGCTGCAAACAATATCTTAAGTGCTCAAGTGCTGCTTGGCATTCCATAGACCAGTGATGGCAAACCTTTTAGAGACCAAGTGCCCAATTGCAACCCAAAACCCACGTATGTATCGTTGGGTGCCGGATGGGTGTGGCCCATTGGGTGGGTGTGGCTGCTGTGGTAACGGCAGATTGGGTGGAACTAAAAAGTTCAATCAATTCCAACTTTGCGAGATCTTTTTTTTTTCTGCGAGTTGAAATTGATTGATTGAACCTTTTTTTTGCACACGGCGGCAGAGGCCTAAAGCGAAAAGGTTTTATAAAACCCAGCTGAAGGCCTAGGACTGGGGTGACAGCGCGCGTGCCCACAGAGAGGGCTCTGCATGCCACCTGTGGCACACATGCCATAGGTTCGCCACCATGGCCATAGACCATTGTAATGGTTGACAAGTTTGGGGCTTTTCCCCTCCTTTCCCAGTTTTCTGTAGCTCAGCAATTGGCAGAGCATTCTTAGTGAACGAGGGAATGAATTGCTGGTAAAAGTTTGCGAATCCTAGAAAGTGTCAGACCCAGCGTGAGACCTACCTGCATGTGGAAGATGCACGGTACCCGAATCTCCGTACAGCGCTCCAAGCAGCCCTGTGGGAGCCAAGCACCGGCGACGTGAATGAACTGCTGCCGGCGCTTACACAGTGACGAACGGCCCATATGACTAATTACCATGCCAACGGAGAGGACGGGATAGACCGGCATTATGCAAGGTGGACATATGAATATAGGACGCTGGGTCTGACAAGTGGTGGTTGCTGGGAAGGGGGCGGGGTGGAGGCGCGGTACAGGTGGAGGCTGTAATCTACGGGGATAATCAGGGTGATTGGGGCGTACACAGTGGGTGTGGTGATCGGGTTATTTAGGACGCAGGGCAGGGGTGTGTCCCAGAGCTGGTTTTGTTTTCAACGGAGAAATAAACCTTTGTTGACTACCGCAACGTACCTGGTGGATCGTTTGTTTCGCGCGCCGGCAGGACGTTCTTATAGTAAACCAGCTCTCACACTTCTCGCCCTTCGCGCGGACGGCTGGTGCTGCGGAGCTATGGCCGAGGGTACACAGGGGGTGGACCCGATTATTGGCGAGGAGCCTACAGAGGCCGACGAGCAGTTGGAGAGCCCGGACGCTGGAGTTGAGGGGGAGGAGCAGCTGGCGGTGCGCCCGAAAGAGAGGGGACGTGGCCCTGCGGCTGTGGATCCAGGAACCAGACGGCGCAAGCCTACGCTAGCAGAAGGCGAATGGTGGCTCGGTTCAGCCGCAGGTCTCCCAGAGGATGGTAGGGGGCGGCGGCTGGCACCCAGTTTCGCCGGCTGGAGGGAACGCCGAATGACCGGGGATGACGAAGAGGACTGGAGCTGCTCCACAGCTCCAGGGCAATATACGTTAGAGGTCCTTAGGGAACAGTTCGGGGAGCGTATCTACCCAACTACCATACGCAGCCCTGTTAAGGATAGCACCCCGTATGTGCCCCGCTTTCAAATGGCAAGCCCGGAGTTTAAATTACCGCCAGGGGGTCGTTTCACACTACGGGACCCGATGGCAAGGCAAACCGGAACCGAGCGGCCACGGTATGGACTGGACACACGGGGGGTGCGGCCTTCACCAGAGGGTCCGGACGGGGATGGGGCGGACTCCCTGGGAGCGGGATCCCGTCCTATGGCGCATCCAGGGATGGGCTCATATGGCGGTCAGGTGCCGGTTCCATGGCCTCAGCAGGTGATGTGGAATCCTCCACCCATTTCCCTCACGTTCGATGGGGATCCGGACCGTCTGGCGGTATTCCTTAGCCATGTACTGAACCATCTGGACCGCTATACAACCCTGTATTCGTCCAACTGGGCAATGGTGGTAGCTGTCACGGCGAGTTTGCAAGGAGAGGCCGCTGCTTGGGCCGCAGACCTATATAGCGACCAAGCCAGGGAGCTGGCCGATGTAGGCCTTTTCCTCGATGCACTGAAAACGAGGTTTGAGGACCCAACACGCCAACTACGGGCTGAGGCCCAGTTAGTGGGATTGCAGCAAAAGGGTAGACCAGTACAGGAATACATTCGCGAGTTCCAAAAAGTGGCAGGGAAACTCAGGTCATGGCCAGACAGCTTGCTAATCCACCACTTCCGCACTGGTCTGGATACCACCATCCGTCAAGCATGTATAGTCAGGGGGGTGGTGGGGCGTCTGGCCGACTGGTATAGGGCAGCAGTAGAGTTGGATGTCGGGTTGAGGGATCATCCCGGAAGGCGGGAGGATAGGCCCCGCCGAAGTCAGGATCAGCCCGTGGGTGGTACCACGCAGACCCTACCGGGGACGGTACGTTCGAGGCCTACCTTCAGATGCTTCCGCTGTAACCGGCCGGGTCATCGAGCCGCGGAGTGTGGAATACCCAAGCTAACAGGTACACCTACGGCGATTGGGACACCGGGGATCACGCCGAAGAGACCAGCAGAGAAATCACGGGTTGCCTACCAACTGGGACAGTCGCAGGTCCAGCAGAAACCCGATGAGGCGTCCCCTATATTGCAGGAGTATGAGGAGGAAGAGCCGGTGGAGGATCCAATGGTGAGTGAACCCATCGTCCCCTTCACCATCCCGATTACATTAACGAGCCCGGTTACGGGTGAGTCGATGCCCCTTTCGGCATTACTGGACACAGGGTGCACAAGGTGCCTAATCAGTAAGGGAGTGGTGCAACAGATGCGGATCAGAGTAGCCCGGCTAAAATCCCCGATTCGTTTTGAACAAGTGGATGGCTCTCTGTTGGGGGGGGTTCCGACTACATTGGTGACGGAACCTGTTAGAATGGATATAGGGGGTCATTGGGAACTTATACGCTTCATAGTTGTTCCCACTATGTCTGAGTCTGTCATTCTGGGGTTAGCGTGGATGGATAAGTGGACACCAACGATCTGGTGGGCGGAGGGATCCAGACACCTAAGGCTAGCAGTGGGTCCTCAACCACGGCCGCCGGATGACCAGACTAGGGGTAAGGAGTTAAACTCCTCAAAACCGGTACAGGAGAAGGGCGAGGTTCGATATCCACGGGTATATGAAGACCTCGCGGCTGTGTTCAGCGAACGGGAGTGTGACTGTTTGCCACCTCACCGACGGACAGATTGTGCAATCGAACTCGCTCCTGGGGCCAAGCTGCCTAAACCCAGAATGTACCCTATGACGTTTGCAGAATTGCAAGAATTGAGAAAGTACATTGATAAGAACTTGGCTAGGGGCTTTATAGAGCCAGCACGTTCGAGGATAGCAGCCCCAGTCATATTCCAGGGGAAAAAGGACGGGGGATTGCGATTGTGTGTAGACTTCCGAGGCCTGAACGCTGTGTACATAGACCAGGTTTATCACCTGCCACTTATGAAAGACCTACTTACCCATTTGGCAGCTGGGAAAATCTTTACAAAACTAGACCTCCGTGAGGCATACTATAGGGTACGCATCAAGGAAGGGGATGAGTGGAAAACAGCGTTCAACTGTCCCCTGGGTAGCTACCAATTCAAGGTGATGCCTTTCGGATTACAAGGAGCGCCGGCTGTATTTATGCAACTGATCAACGAAGTGTTGCATGACCATCTATCTAGAGGTGTCCTTGTATATCTGGATGACATACTGATCTACTCACAGACGTTGGAAGAGCATGTGCAATTAGTACGGACAATACTGCGAAAATTACTGGATGCCAATTTATACTGTAAATTGTCGAAGTGCGAGTTTCACAAGACTCGGATTGATTATTTAGGGTTCAGAGTCTCCGCTACAGGGATAGAAATGGATCCAAGTAAAGTTCGCAGTGTTTTAGAATGGCAGGCCCCAAGGACCCGGCGTCAACTGCAGAGATTCTTGGGGTTTGCCAATTTCTACCGACAGTTCATCCCCTCGTTCGCCGACGTGGCCCTACCATTAACCCAACTGTTACGCACCAAAACCACGACTGGTAAACCTCACCCTAAACAAGCATTAGATTGGACTGTGGACTGTCAACAGGCCTTTGAGTCGCTAAAACGACTATTTGCAAAGGAACCAGTGTTATTACACCCCGACCCGAGTAGACCATATGTGGTGCAAGCCGACGCCAGTGATGTGGCCGTCGGAGCGCTTTTGATGCAACGTAACGGACAGGGCGACTTGCAACCGTGCGCATACACCTCCAAAAAATTTACCGACCCAGAGCGACGGTGGGCGGTGTGGGAGAAGGAGGCATTTGCAATAAAATGGGCACTATCCACCTGGCGCCACTTATTGGAAGGCGCACAGCACCCCTTCGAGGTGTGGACGGACCACCGGAACCTAATGGTCCTCCAGACGCCGAGGAAATTGGCGCCAAAATACGTTCGATGGGCACAGTATTTTCAGCGTTTCAGATTTAGTCTGAAGGTAGTACCCGGAGGGAAGAACTTCTTAGCAGATGCGCTCTCACGACTACCACAATATGATGGTAAAAAGGAACAGGTGATTCAAACTATTATGCCAATATGTAGTATGGTTCCCGCGCAGACGGAGGGATGTGCAAAAGTGGTAACGTTGGAGGAGGAATTGCAGTCAGTATTGTTGACCGATCCCTGGTTGCAGGCGAATCCCGGATTGTTAACCCATCGTGATGGATTGGCCTGGTATCGGAATAGGTTATACATCCCCTCGGAATTGCGTCATCGGGTATTTCACCAATGTCACGACTCCAAGGTGGCAGGTCATTTTGGATTTGTAAAGACGCTCCACCTGGCGAGACGCCGGTTCTGGTGGCCTAGCCTACGGAAGGATATTGAGCGGTATGTCAAGGAATGCCATATTTGCGCACAAGCTAAAGTGGTACCGAAGAGACCGATGGGACTGTTACAATCGGTGTCTAACCCAGTTCGGCCCTGGCAGGACATCGGGATGGATTTCCTCGTTGAGTTACCAAACGTCAGGGGTTACACGGTCATATGGACGGTTGTTGATTTGTTTTCGAAACAAGCACACTTTGTCCCCTGCAAGGGGTTGCCGTCTGCGAGGAAGTTAGCAAAACTGTTCGTGCAACATATTTATCGATTACATGGGGCGCCCCGTCGAATTATTTCCGACCGGGGCGTCCAGTTCACAGCCCAGTTCTGGCGTCAATTCCTTGCGAGCATCGGAACCACACAAGGACTGAGTTCCGCATACCATCCTTGTACCAATGGGGCGGCGGAACGGGCTAACGCAGCGATTTCACGATATCTGCGATCGTATGTATCTTACCAGCAGTCGGATTGGATAGATTTCGTGCCGTTCGCAGAGTTAGCGTATAACAACGCAGTACATAAAAGCACCGGGTTGACCCCATTTCAAGTAGTTTACGGCTACGACCCAGTTACGCTGCCTGGGGGCGAGTCGCCGGGAGACGTGAACCTACAGCCTGGAGACTGGATGGCCCGTGCAGGCCAGGTGTGGAGTACAGTAAAAAAGGCCTTACGGCAAGCAGAAAGGATAGCGAAAGAGCAGGCTGACAAGGGTCGTAGACTACCAATGCAACTAAGAGTGGGTGATCGGGTGTACCTATCAACCAAATATATTAAGTTACAGGTACCATGCAAGAAGCTAGCGCCAAAATATATTGGGCCCTTCCGCATAGTACGTATCATCAACCCTGTTACGGTGCAGCTTCAGTTGCCGGAATTGCTTGGTAAGATACACCCAGTGTTCCATGTGAGTTTGTTGAAGCCTGTAGAGGGGGACACCCACAACAAACCTCCCCCAGGACCCATTGCCCCGGGAAGGTATGAGGTACAAGACATACTAGATTCTCGGTGGCGGAGGGGCACCCTGTATTACCTGGTGTTATGGAAGGGATACCCCTTATCTGAGGCATCCTGGGTACGGGAGGAGGATGTTTTCGCCCCTGCCCTCACCCGTCGATATCACAGGATGTGGCCACACAAGCTAAGGGGCTAGGGGATGGGTGATACGCCCACGATGGCTAGATAGTGGATGTAATTGTTCATGTTCCATTTCAGGGGGCTCTATGGTAAAGGGGAGCCGAATGTCAGACCCAGCGTGAGACCTACCTGCATGTGGAAGATGCACGGTACCCGAATCTCCGTACAGCGCTCCAAGCAGCCCTGTGGGAGCCAAGCACCGGCGACGTGAATGAACTGCTGCCGGCGCTTACACAGTGACGAACGGCCCATATGACTAATTACCATGCCAACGGAGAGGACGGGATAGACCGGCATTATGCAAGGTGGACATATGAATATAGGACGCTGGGTCTGACAAGTGGTGGTTGCTGGGAAGGGGGCGGGGTGGAGGCGCGGTACAGGTGGAGGCTGTAATCTACGGGGATAATCAGGGTGATTGGGGCGTACACAGTGGGTGTGGTGATCGGGTTATTTAGGACGCAGGGCAGGGGTGTGTCCCAGAGCTGGTTTTGTTTTCAACGGAGAAATAAACCTTTGTTGACTACCGCAACGTACCTGGTGGATCGTTTGTTTCGCGCGCCGGCAGGACGTTCTTATAGAAAGCTTTCAAGCTGCTTGCAGGTCCATGGGGACTGCCATTCCAGCACCGCCTTAACTTTGGTAGGGTTCATTTCTACCCCCTCACCTGAAATTTTGTACCCCGGGTAGTCGAGGCGCGGCTGATGGAATTCACATTTGGAGAGCTTAGCATAAAGTTTAGCTCTCAGCAGCTTCTTAAGCACTTCATGCCCTAACTTGACATACTCTTCCACGGCCTCGGTATAAATAAGGATATCATCAAGGTAAACTAAGACCCCCTTGAATAAATGATCATGCAGTACTTGATCAATTGCATGAACATAGCGGTCACCCCTTGGAGACCGAAAGGCATAACCTTGAACTGGAAACTCCCCAGATGGCTGTTGAAAGCTGTTTTCCATTCATTCCCCTCCTTAATCCACACCCGGTAATATGTTTCTCTTAAGTCCAATTTAGTGAAAATTTTCCCCTTGGTTAAGTGAGCCAGCATTCTTTCATTAAAGGAAGGGGGTACATATTTTCAACACTGACAGCATTTAATCTTTTAAAATCTAAACACAACCTCATTGATCCATCTTTCTTTTCCTTAAAAAGTACTGGGGAGTGACTCACCATTTGGCTGGCTGGATGAACCCCATGGCTAAGTTCTTGTCAATATACTCTCAGTTCTTTCATCTCTCTGGGTGTCATAGAGTACATTTTGAGCTTCAGAAGCTTGGCTCCAGGCAAGATTTCAATGGCACAGTCAGTTGCCTGGTGTGGGGGGAGGACATCACATTCCTTTTCACTAAACATCTCCTCCAAGTCTCGATATTCACTTGGTATCAGTTGGATTCCTGACACGTGCTCTATGATGGCTTTTAGAGTTTCAAGAGTTTCTTGGGTCTCAGCTGCGGCAAGCCCCTGTACTTCGCTGGTTGATGTGGGTGGAAGGGGTCCCGTTGCTAACCTTAGGGTCCTGACTCCATCAAATCATGGGATGCTACTTATCAAGCCAGGCCAGACCCAGGATTGCAGCCTCAGTCATTTTAGGAACCACCACGAAATGGGTGATTTCCCAGGACCTCCCCATTTCCAAATGCACTAGTTTGGTCAGGTGCATGGCAGAGGCTCCTCCTATGAGAGACCCATCTGCCTGTTGAAACCTCATGGCCGGGGGCATTAGCTTGGCACGGATCCCTAACTTTAGTGCTATAGAGAGATTTATTAAGCAGCAGGTGCAACCCGAGTCAATTAGGACATTTAAATCTGCTTGAGCACTTGTCTTGGGTACTATGATTTTGGTGGAGATAGTGAAAGGTGGGATGGGTTAACTTACCATCAGGTCGTCTTTGTCCTCCTCATCACTGTCATAAGGAGCTGGCATCAGGAGGTGCCTGGATGTAGATTCTTTTTCTCCATGAGGAGGGGAGGTGACCCAAACGGCTTGCTTTTGACAGGCCTAATTTGACTTCTCTCGTCCAGGTTGTGTGTTCCGCTTTGGCTTAGTGGCGGTGGCAGGTGCACTTTTTGCCTGGGGAACAGGAACTGGACAATCAACAGCCCAGTGGCCTGACTGCCCACACCGGAAACTTTTGATTGGTGGTCCAATGGATGCTCGTAGAAAACAGGTGCTTTTCTTGGCTCCACTTCATCTTTGATTCTTTGGTGGCGGGTCTCCGGTAGTGGCCTAATTCAATGTTTAGAATCACAGCCATGCGTTACCACTCACAGAGCTGATCAGGCATTCCCTGGTAGGTGCACACTTGGAACAAATCTCAGTCTAGCCCCTCTTTGAAATGGTGAATCAGCGATCGTTCCAGCTACTGTCTGAGCATGCCAGCAACTTTTCAAAATTCCCAGATATAGTCTTTGGCTGGTTGTCCTTTCTGCTTTAGACTAGGGATGTCCTTCTCAGCTTGCAGAGCCTGGGATTCATCCTCAAATGGCTCTTAGTTATCCCATAAACAGATTGATGTCCAACAGTTCTGGCATTTGCTCATCGTGTGGTCACCCACTCCGCTGCTTCTTCTATATTTTCTGCAAGTGCATCCACCATCTTAGCATCGTCAGGGTAAACGGGTAGGTCTTATATTAGGCCCACCCCAAAAAAATCAAGCTAGGGCTTACTATCGGGCTGGATCTTACTTTGGGAAAACATGGTGTACTTGAAGCTTCTTCCTAGCAAGCAGGATATGAAATGCATCTATTATACATACTCTTTGGCCTACAAATTACTGTTCATTAAAGATTGGCAATACAACAAAATTAATTGAATTACTATTTATTAAAATGGTTTATTTGTTTATTTATTTGTATCCCACCTTTATTATTTTTACAAATAACTCAAGGTAGTGAATGTATACAACACACTTTCCTCCCTACAATAACCCTGTGAGGTGGGTTGGGCTAAGAGAAAGTGACTAGCCCAGTTGACTTTCAAGGCTAAGGCAGGCCTTAAACTCACAATGTCCTGCTTTCAAGCCTGATACCTTAACCACTAGACCAAACTGGTTCTCTGCAAAAGTAATTGCACTTGGAAATTTGAGTTCAGCAACAAATATATATATGCTTCTCTGTGGGGTTTCCCTCTTCCTGAAGGAAAAGCTGTGTAGTCACAAAGATCTCAAGGCCTCTTTGATTTCACTTTGTCATTGCAAGGTACAGGATGTCTTTGGCTTGGAGCACCTCTTATTTCATTAAGTAGGTAGATCCAATCCTATAGATAGGTATATCCAATCCTAGCCTCCAGATTAGTGTATTATTGATGGACTGCAATTACTTCCAAATAAAACTTTTAGATTGCCAACTGTGATTATACTATATTAGTGCATTATTCTATTGCACTAACCTTTCTTTCAAAGCCCATTTTAAAATATGACCCTTGAATATTAGTTTAGGATTATAGTAATAGCTGTTGGTATTGAATTGTCTAATAAATTGATTAGTAAAATTAATCAGATTCTTTTAGGATTCTGTCAACTAATGTTGAGGGAGGGGTTCTAGATGAAGTTGCACTTCCTTGTGTTTCATAATACCTAGGAAGATTCTGGAAAAACTAATCAAGATAATCAAGCAACACATTTGTGAACACCTAGAAACAAGCTCAGCAGCGAACAAATGCTTGAGCTTTTTGAACGCCACTTGGCATTTCATTGATCATACAAAGGGTTGGCTGGGTTTAAGCTTAGTTTCATCCTTAGTCTTCAAAAGATTAGTAATGGGAAATGCAGTCTTAGCAAAGGGGGGAATTAACTGCTGGTAGAAGTTGACAAAACCCAGAAAACTCTGTAATTGCTTCCTAGTGCTGGGGAGGGGGGAATTCTAACATGGCTCACACCTTTTCAGGATCCATCTCTATCTATCTATTTGCAATACCCCAAATAGTCAATTTTGTCTTGGGGGAACTCACACTTGAACAATTTAGCACAGAGGCCCCCAATCTTTGTCGGTTGGCAGACCGGAGGAAAAGGGAGGGGGAAGCATTTTACATGCGTGGTTGTGTAAGCACACGGGGCCGCGAGCACATGTGCACACAAATTGAGCGGGGCTAGTACCCGTGTGATACTCACTAGTCCTACCCTGTTTTTGCGTGGCGCAGCGCCTTATTTCTGTGCTCCATGGCACAATGGGGCTGTTTTTGTGTCCTGTGGTGCAGCGGCACCCATTTTTGTGTTTTGCGGCATGGCAACAGCCATTTTTGTGCCTTGCAGCATGGTGGCATCTCATTTTCGCACCGTGGTGCAGCGGCAGCCTGTTTTTGCACCCCATGGTATAGCATTGTTTTTGTGCCCTGTGGACGCTACCACAGGTGAGGTGCGTGCACACTGGCCAGCCTATCCTGGACCCTGTTGGCCAGGAGGCCATGGCCCACTACCGGGCTGCAGCCCACAGGTTGGGGACCCTAGTTTAGCATACAGTTTAGTTGCCCTGAGTTTTTTAGGACTGCACACACTAATTTCACATGCTCCTTCATAGTTCCAGTGTATATCAAAATGTCATCTAAGTACACCAAAACCCCTTTGTACAAATATCTATGCAGCATTTCATTGATCAGCTGCATGAAAACAGCAGTTGATCAAAGGGGAGCACTTGGAACTGGAAACAACCCAAAGGGCAGTTGATGGCAGTTTTCCATTCATTGCCCTCCTTGATGCGGATCCTGTAATACACTTCTCAGATCTAGTTTAGAAAAAATCCTTCCCTTAGCCAAGTGCGCCAGCATAGCTTTCATCAGAGGATAAACATTCTCCACGCACACAGCATTTAACCCCTTATAATCCACACAGAAGCGAAGAGTCCCGTCCTTGTCCTAGAATAAGGTCTGCCACTCATGGTGCAGCTGGTTGGATAAATCCACGTTTCAAATTCTTATTAATAAAGGCATGAAGCTCGTGTAGCTCGCACGGGGCCATTGAGTAGATATTAGACTTGGGGAGCTTTGCTCTAGGGAGGATTTCTATGCTGCAGTCCGTGGAGTGTTGTGGTGGCAGTGCATCAGAGCCCTGTTCACTGAATACCTCCCTCAAGTCCCAGTATTTATTTGGGATCTTTTCCTCCCCTTTTTGGTATTCCTGCATGGCAGTACCCAATTCCCTCCTTGCCATGGTTTTTTTCCCCTTAGGGGTCAGAATCGCCTCCCTTTTTCCCCCAGGTTGGGGTCGGATTTTTAGGAGCTTCCTTCTCCAATTCACATGAGGGTTCTACTTGTGAAGTCATGTAAGTCCAAGCAGGCAGGTCTCTCAATGTGGCTCCCCATTCTCATTTCCATCAGCTCAGTCACAAAATGGGCTGGGGCCTCCCCTTCTATCGATCCTTCCAGTTGGCAAAAAGCTATGGAGACCTTCAGTCTCCTTTGCCTCAGTCCCAATTTTTCCACCACCTCTGGACTGATCACACACCTGGTGCACCCCAAGTCCAATAGGGCCAACGTGCTCTCCTGGGTGCCTGATGAAGGCATCACTAGCTCCACCGGGATGGTCACAGAGATTACATATTGACTTACCAGGGAGTCGTCATCAGAGTCTATGTCGCTCTCCTCTGGAGGGGTCAGAGTTGCCAGCCCCCCCCCCCCGGCCAGGAGGGGTGAGCTCAACGACCTTTACTCCCTCTAACATTGTTTCGCAGAATCGTGGTGGCAGCTTCTCGGCTTTCCTTCCATGGCAGTTACAGGTTACGAGATGGGTTTGGTGGAGTGACATTTGCGGCCTGGCGCCCTTCCTTCCCAGATTTGAAACTCGCTGTGGACCCCAACTTAGTTTCTTTATAAGTGGGGGGCGAAGACTTGATCCAACCATAGCTACCCCGGTGTCAGTCTTTGGCCAAATCAATCTCCACTTCATCTGCCAGCACATACCAGTTCTGTAGATTTCGTGCCCTCCCTGTGAGTTGCAGGTGTAGTAGACTTCATCATTGACGCCATCTTTAAAGCACTCGATCAGGATCTCTTTGGGCCATGTGACTAGCTGGCCTGCCAACCATTGGAACTCCTGGATGTATGCAGTCACTGACCTTCATCCTTGGGTGATGGTCTTCATACAGGTCCTTGCCTTGCGTTCCACCAGTGGGTCCTTGAACTGCTGGCAAAGGGCTGCCATAAAGTGGTTGTAGTCCTGCAGCTGGGAGGGGGGTTTGTCATTTTAGAGAGAGACCATCCATTCGGCAGCTGCACCCTCCAGCACCATGGTCACGTGTCCTACTCAGGCCGTCTCCGTCCTCAGTTCAGTCCCATATTCTTGCATGTAGTTCCAAACTTGCACCAAGAAGAATCCCAGTTGCTTGGGGTCTCTCCCATATGTCACTCCAAAAGCTGGGACCTTTGAGGCCCAGTGTCTCTGAGGAGCAACCCCTGCAGGCGGAGGGAATTGTGCAGCTGCTGCTGATAGCACCGCTTGCACTGGCATCTGTCCAGACAGGGTAGGCTGCCACTGTAGTAGCTCCATCCACAGCTTGGTTTGGGGTGACTCAAGGAGCCTGGGTAGTTGTCTGCGTGAGGGTTTCCTGGGTTCTTCCGCTCTCAATCACCTCTTGTATCAGGAACAGGCTTGATTCATCATGGCCTCCTCCAAGGTTTCCTCCCCAGAGACCATTGGGTGCTCTGGGCCTGACATGCTCCTCATTGTGATTCAATTCCTCGCCATTCCGCCTCGTCTCCAGCACAGTATGGTCGAGAGGGGGAGCTGCCATAGCTTCAGGGTCCTCCAGTTTGCTCCCGGGGCTTGACATTTGATGCTCAGTCCCTGTGGACTGTCTCTGGATTGACTATTAAAGCAGTTCTTGCTTAATGTCAGGGCTACCTCCATTCAATCCCTAGGAAAGAAAACCCCTTGACTCCATAAGATTAGAGAAAACGTACTTTTACTAGGAAACAACTGAATACAGCAAGTGTGAGGCAAGATCCGAAGAAAAACGGCACGAAACAGTAAGTTAAAACAAACTCTAGAATCCACTCCCCTTGTATCTAGGCAACCAGAGGTCACACACCAGCCAAGGAAGGTTTTCATCTGCATACCAAAGCTAAGAGAGATAAGCAAAGCACAGGCAAGCAGTTGCAAAACTTCACAAAAACTTTCCACAGTCTTCTCTTGTATGATTCTTGCCTCCCCCTACAAATGCCCATCTCTCTCCCTTACCCCCTTTCCATGGCAGCACGCTGACACAGCCACTTGTCTGAAATGATATAAGGTTTCCTGCTTGAGCAGAGGGTTGGACTAGAAAACTTCCAAATTCTTTTCCAGCTCTGTTATTCTGTTATAATTTGGGTGTCTTCATGGACTCATAGATTCTCTGTGCAGCAGGTAGCACCACTTTACACTTACAGAGTTTAGAGGTAAGGTTACTTGTATATAAATTGTTCACAGAATTGTTTGCAAATACGATTTGATTGATACTGATTGTATCTTTATTCCCTTCCTAGGTTTTTGATGATTGCCACGAAGGTGGAGAAGTATCTCCTGCAAACTGTGTTTACATGATGGAATGGCTAGAATTTTAGGAGTCAAATGAAGAAATTGGCTCTGAAACTTTAAACCTGATGAATCAAACTTTTTCTTAGAAAACTGCTTGGGCATTGGGTTGATACTTTTGAAAAAATTGACTGCCCTGCCATGTGCTGAATGGGATGCTGTAGGATTGAATCTATATTCCTGCTTCCAAGTAAAATACATAGTAAGATACATAGGGATACAAGGCAATAGAGCTTTAAGAGACAAGTTAAATTTTGGGTAAGAGTATTTATTTGTTTGCTGTGCTGAATAAAATGAACCTGTGAATGGCAATTGAATCCTGCAGTGTGTGTTAAGATTGTCTTATTAGGGGAACCTTTAGTTTACTATTTCATGGAACTGAAAATCAGAGACATGGTCCACCCAGATGTTCTCCTGTGAAAATCTTATTAAAATGACAAGAGAATTTCCCAAAGTGGCAAAGCTTTCTATAGGTTAGTGGAACACTGAAATTGGAGTTGATGTTATATTCAGTAACATAAATGTTCATACTTTAATATTAAAAAATAGATCTTTTGAAAATTTGTTAAAATGCAAAACCAATCTTGTATGTGTTTGACCAAAACTGTAGACTTTGTTATCTGGAAATGTCAGCACCTATCAAATTTGTCTCTGAGTCAGACTGACTATATGCTGCTGCCAAAATCAGATAGAAACTATATTTTGAAACAGTTTTAAAAAGAGTAAATCTTGAGATTTCTGCATATACAGTGGGGCAAAAAAGTATTTAGTCAGCCACCAATTGTGCAAGTTCTCCCACTTAAAAAGATGAGGGAGGCCTGTAATTGTCATCATAGGTAGACCTCAACTATAAGAGACAAAATGAGAAAACAAATCCAGACAATCACATTGTCTGATTTGGAAAGAATTTATTTGCAAATTATGGTGGAAAATAAGTATTTGGTAAATATCAAAAGTTCATCTCAATACTTTGTTATATATTCTTTGTTGGCAATGACAGAAGTCAAACATTTTCTGTAAGTCTTCACAAGGTTGGCACACACTGTTGCTGGTATGTTGGCCCATTCCTCTATGCAGATCTCCTCTAGAGCAGTGATGTTTTGGGGCTGTCGCTGGGCAACACAGACTTTCAACTCCCTCCAAAGGTTTTCTATAGGGTTGAGATCTGGAGACTGCCTAGGCCACTCCAGGACCTTGAAATGCTTCTTACGAAGCCACTCCTTCTTTGCCCGGGCAGTGTGTTTGGGATCATTGTCATGCTGAAAGACCCAGCCACGTTTCATCTTCAATGCCCTTGCTGATGGAAGGAGGTTTGCACTCAAAATCTCACGATACATGGCCCCATTCATTCTTTCCTGTACACAGATCAGTCATCCTGGTCCCTTTGCAGAGAAACAGCCCCAAAGCATGATGTTGCCACCCCTATGCTTCACAGTAGGTATGGTGTTCTTTGGATGCAACTCAGCATTCTCTCTCCTCCAAACACGACGAGTTGTGTTTCTACCAAACAGTTCTACTTTGGTTTCATCTGACCATAGGACATTCTCCCAAATGCTCTCTAGCAAACTTCAGACAGGCCCAGACATGTACTGGCTTAAGCAGGGGGATATGTCTGGCACTGCAGGATCTGAGTTCCTGGCGGCGTAGTGTGTTACTGATGGTTGCCTTTGTTATGTTGGTCCCAGCTCTCTGCAGGTCATTCACTAGGTCCCCCCATGTGGTTCTGGGATTTTTGCTCACCGTTCTTGTGATCATGTTGACCCCACGGGGTGAGATCTTGCGTGGAGCCCCAGATCGAGGCAGATTATCAGTGGTCTTGTATGTCTTCCATTTTCTAATTATTGCTCCCACAGTTGATTTCTTCACACCAAGCTGCTTGCCTATTGCAGATTCAGTCTTCCCAGCCTGGTGCAGGTCTACAATTTTGTTTCTGGTGTCCTTCGACAGCTCTTTGGTCTTCACCATAGTGGAGTTTGGAGTGTGACTGTTTGAGGTTGTGGACAGGTGTCTTTCATACTGATAACAAGTTCAAACAGGTGCCATTAATACAGGTAATGAGTGGAGGACAGAGGAGCCTCTTAAAGAAGAAGTTACAGGTCTGTGAGAGCCAGAAATCTTGCTTGTTTGTAGGTGACCAAATACTTATTTTCCACCATAATTTGCAAATAAATTTTCCAAATCAGACAATGTGATTGTCTGGATTTGTTTTCTCATTTTGTCTCTCATAGTTGAGGTTTACCGTATTCTCTGGCATATAAGACGACTTTCTAAACCATGAAAATCTTCTCAAAAGTCGGGGGTCGTCTTATACGCCCAGTCGTCTTATACGCCGGAAAATACGGGTACTTCGAAAGAGTATATGCGACTCAATGATCAGAACCGAGTATAGTTCGAATACAAGCTATAAAATGAAATGATCACCCTTGAAAATGCTACTCCAGGAAGCATATGGTATGCTGGGAATTGTAGTCGGCTTTCCGAATAAGAAACGGTCTCAGCGGGGCCGTGGGATGTCGGGAATTGTAGTCGACATTCGGTCTTGGTTGATGTCCTCGACCGGGCCATGGCGGCTGCGGGCAACTCTGGCGGGAGTTCCAAGGTGGCACCCAGCGTAGATTTTGATCATAGCTGCTCCAACAGTGTTGAATACCTGACTTTGAACTTCAGGCCTTTCGAGATGGTGCATCGGTGGTGCCACCTCCCACCCTGCGATGAGTTCGTCGGGGCTCGGTGAGGCATCTCTGGGATTTGCAGGGGGCTCGGCTTGGTGTGGGGCTGAACAGCGTGTAGGAGCCACCAACGAAATGCCGGACCAGAGGGCGGTTTAGGGAAGGGATGTAAACCAAGGTTGTCTTTTCTTTCCAGCCGTAGCAAGCACACCGTGGTCGTTTATCGAGATGCCATCTACGTCTTTGGTGGGGATAACGGGTGAATCTCCCTACGTTCCTCCCTTTGGTTTTAGCCCATCCTGTCCCCCCACGCAAAACATGCTGGCTCCTTTTGCGCTTCCCCGCTCCCTAACATGGCTCGCTTTAATAAGAGCACACATAGTTTTTTCCCAGACAAGGTTTTCTAAAGATGAGGATGCAGAGATTGTAATGGGAGTAAGAAGGATTATTTAGGAAATAATGTCCATTATGCAATTCTTGCCATGAGAAAGAAAAGAAACAAGCAAAGAAAACTAGAATGTTTACAGTGATGGAGGTTCCTCTTAAATATTGTCTGTCATGAAAATATTGCTAGGCAGAGAACTTTCTTTTCTCACTGCATATTAAAAAAAAGTGTGGGCATAAAAAGGCAAACTGGACTTGACTAGTTCGCAAGAGTATTTCTAACCACTTAAAACTGGGATGGGAATCTCTGGATCCTCTGGCTACAGAATCCCAAAGGATTTCATGAGGCAACTGGACTATCTTGTTTTTCTTTGAAGACCTGGATGACTGAGAATCTCCATAGACATCTGGGTGCAGAGGTTTCTCTCCCCTGTTTGTTTTCTCTTTAAGAAAACACTTAAGGGGTCAAAGACAGTGATGATCGCATTGGAATGCCTAACTCTCTTCCCTTGAAGAGTGCCACGGAGTACCAAAAGTAATGAGTACAACTATAAGCCTCCCGGCTTTTCCTTCTACCTTCCCCCCCAATCTTTCTCCTCAAGAAAAGACTGGGACAAACCATCTCACTTTAATGTGACTCTGTGCAGCTTGCAGTAAAATACATAAAATGCACAATATGAAAAATAAACCAGTCATCCACACAGCCACTAGACAGGCTCTATCATGCCCAGGGCCCAGGTTTTAGGCACAGGAACCAAGTTTTCAAGGTCTTGAAAAAATGTGAATATAATTCAACTGACTGGAAATTGTGATCATATCCAATATATCAATGTAATATGTAAGCTAAAAATTGTGACAGGAATATCCAAAACGGTCAGTCAGTCTAGTAGAATATGAACAGTCTATCTGTCTGAGTTTCCACTTAAATTGGAAATGTCTCCATTCAACATGACAGCAATAGATCTTTAGCTAGAATATATATATTGTTTCATAAAATGCATGCTTAAGGATTTACCAACATACCATATTTTCCGGCGTATAAGACGACTTTCTAAACCATGAAAATCTTCTCAAAAGTTGAGGGTCGTCTTATACGCCCAGTCGTCTTATATGCCGGAAAATACGGTAGCTATGATGACAATTACAGGCCTCTCTCATCTTTTTAAGTGGGAGAACTTGCACAATTAGTGGCTGACTAAATACTTTTTTGCCCCACTGTAAAGCTCTCTCAGTAAAATATACACCTGGAGCTAGAAAGGTTGTGCATTAACAATGTTCACAAATGGATATCCTCTGTGTTTCTGATTGAGTTAACTGCAATTCATGAAAACTTAATCCTTTTTGTATTTTTTTTTAAATCAGAGTGCTAATAGATTCCTGATAATTTGCTATTATAGACTAACATGGCTCTTCTCCAGTACAGGAGATGGAGAATCCACCAATGGGTTTTTTCTGTCTGCCTGCTCTTGAGACCAAGTAGCCAAACTTGACATGCCCCCTCTTGCTAGCAGATCCAGTCTTAACTTCGTCTCAGCTCTTGAAGACGTATCAGGTTTGGCTCTTAAGCAAATAGCAGGTTAGATCCCATTGGTGAATTCTCCTTTTCTTAGTTGTCCCAATATTTGACTAAAATAATAATTTGGAATCCCCTTTAACAAAAAAATTCCCCAAAAGCACTGGGCTCAGTGCTAATTCAATTCCCTTTTTTTGTGGTGTGTGGGTTGGGGGGGAGGTCTTGCAGCTTTCCTGCTTTCCTTTCCCCAGGGCTCTGGGGAAAACTTCCAGCAGGGGCTGCTGGACTCATATTACACTTTCTTCTTCCCCCTCTTTTCTCCTTTTTCTTTACTTTCTGGGGATTCAAATTCAGGCTGCAGGACTGAAATTCAATGTTGCATTCAATCCCCCAGTATTTCAAGCAGCCCAGGGCAGTCGCGGCCACCATTTTGGTTGCCGTTAAAGGCAATGAAGTCATATTTCAGTTCCCTAACTAACGAACGGAGCTAAAGTCAGCCTCATTTTAACAGCTGTTTGGTGGGCTGATTCACGGAGCGCTTTGCAGTGCAGCGGCTAGCATTGCCTCCGCGGCTGCCTCAGCATTAGGAATTGACTCTGGGACCGTGGAGAACGTTCTCAGTGATGAGCAAGCAGCGGTCGCCATCTTGGAGCCACCAACAACGTCAAAGAGCTGTGAAAGGCCTAGTTTTTGGCTTTCAGGTGCTCTTCTCATTGGTGGCCAGTTTACACAGCCCTTTTTTAGGGCTTTAATCCC